CAACTACTTTTGGCTCTGGGCCCTAGGGATAAAGATACCACCTCCATTGTTTCGCGATCAGATGGTCGCAGCCCGGATCTGGTATCATTATCGTTCTGGCTATTTTCTATAAGACAAGGCTCCTTCATATTCCCTTCAAACATGTCCCGTTCCGATGCTAGCCTTTTACTCGCATATTTCCAAAAAGAAAAGCAAAACGACGATATTTTATCTTCAATCGAATTGATTCCAATTTTCTAGAAAACTATTTGCATGCTAAAAAGAGATCCCGTTACGCTTCTGATAACAGACGGAATCGATTGGCTGAAAAGCGAGGTTTTGGCTTTTTATCGAGGCATCATACAAAATATTATGATGTCGCGCGAATCGTTTCACCTTCTCCCAATATTCATGGATTTTTTAACATGCTACTTTTTGTCAGATGTAGACTTTATTGGGGCTGCATGTAACGTGTTTTCTTTTGCTTTATCGTTGATCCCGGACCAAGAAAACTTGCAATTTACCTATAGTTTGTCGCTCTTTTTTTCAAATTTAGTTAAGATTTTAAACCAGCACTCGCCTGTCGAAGCAAAATCGATCGGTGGCATCTACTTTTCGAGCCCGGTTTGGAAATCATTATTACAATTTTGCTTTGGAAAAGATTTTCGTACTAGAGGCAAAAAAGAATGCCTAATTCTGCTTTTTAATATGCTAGCTTGTTCTATAAACAATCTGCAAGATCTACTTATTTCTTCTGTTGAGTTGTTTTATCCGCAACCTCGCAGGATGGATATTTTGGAATATGGCAATGAGGCTTATTTGGAAATATTGAACGTTTGCTTACTCGAAATGCTTTTTTTGGCTTCCCTTCCCCCAGCGGCATTGGATCATCTTGTTCCAGATGACTCCTTTTGGTTTGAAAACATTCTCCATGCGTTTTACTTGCTGTTTGGCCAGTGCAATCTTGATGAATTTTCAACCTCTATTAATTGCTATAGTCCAGATTGCTATGATCTCTCTTCCATCTATTTAATAGATGGAAATTCATCCGAAAATACGGTTCACAACGACCATGCACTTCGATCCTTATACATACATTCGTTATACTCGTTGCTGGCATCTCATCCTTTAAAAGTGCGGACCTGGTGGACTCAGAGCACAGCTCATTCCTCAGTACCAGAGACCCTATTTGACAAGAAAAGCTGGACCAATCTTTTGGCCACTTTTGACAGATTCGTTTGCACAAGGTTTTCGCAAAAATTAATTAAAAGAGAAATTGAGCTTTTAAGAGCGCCAGCATCAAAAAAAAGACTCTCTCCTTTGGAATTGAATTTGTTGCATTCGAGTATTTCATCCTCCATTTTGGTAAGGCTCCCACTTGGAGAAGAAAATGCTTTTCTTGAAATGACCCTCATCTTTCCCCAATCTTACCCGCTAAATTCAATTGTTGTGCAGCAAACAGGTAAGAGGGTCGGGGTTTCAGAAGCGGTTTGGCGTAAATGGCTATTATCCACTCAGATATTAATTTCCGGGAGCACATCTATGCTTTCTCTGGCCACTGCAAATACGCCTCCATTGATTGTCTCGTGTTCATCTACAATCTTGGAAGCCCTTGTCCTGTGGAAGAAAAATGCTGAAGCAAGGTTCTCTGGAATCGAAGAGTGTATAATCTGCTATTCTATCTTCCAACCAATCGACTTTAGCCTCCCGTCCAAGGGCTGTCCCAGTTGCAAACACAAGTTTCACTCCTCCTGCTTGGTACTTTATATTTTTTAATGTTAATTTATAGATAAAATGGTTCAAAACCAGTGGCAACTCAACCTGTCCCCTATGTAGAGCTTACATTTAGCGCCAAATTTTTCAATTAAATTGATTACTCATAATTTAACTAGTCCATAATTCGATTGCATTTTATTGATGACACTTTCCATACAGGTTTTCCCAATCGGAAAATACGTTTTGGCTTTTTTGGCGAACTTGGTATTTCTTTTTTCATATCAAAAATTCGTTTCTGGCGAGTTTCTTTTTTTAAAAGAGTGTTATCATATTTTTGGTGGCGTGGTTTTCTTTCTATGTGCGTTTGGAGAAAATCGATTTTGGGTGTTTCTTGTGTTTATTTCGCTCAAAATATTTATTGCAGAACTTTCATCATATTTGCCTGTCTCATTTAGATTCAATGTAAAAACTCTCTTTTTATTCTGCGAGTTTATTTACTGTGTTTATCTTGAATTTTTTGAACCGGAGACATTCGTTGAACTTGGTTCTCATATTCCATGGATGATTTCTTATTTGAAAGGAATCATTTTTTGGTTCGAAGGCAATAAAGAAGGCAATAAAGAAAAGTCTTTTGAGCTAGGTTACTTTACTTATACTTCCGATCATGGGTCTATGCCCATCCTTCGCTTTATAAAACGGATATTTATGGCATACTCGTATTTCTTTTCTCCTATGACACTTTTTGCAGGCCCTACAATTGAATATAAGACCCATGTTAACTATTTACTAAAAATTGATCAGACTGAATGGGTTTTTGATACTGCTGTAATCAAAAATCAAGATTTTCAAATTTTATTTGTAACTGCTGTTTTTTTGATTCCATTATATATCTTCTTTTGGTTCTTTAGGCCTTTTTCATGGCTTATTTCACCCGAATACTCTCAAAATTCATTTTTAGTAAAACTTTTATATGCCTTTCTTTTGGGTTGGACATCAATGTCAAGGTACCTCATTTGGATTCTAATTGAGATGTATGGATATTTTGGTGATTGTTTTGAAGATCCATCAAGAGATGAAGATCTTTCTTCGAGTTTAGGAAAATCTTCTATCACTGTTAACAATCTTAAAGATTCCGAAAAAAATTTCAATCAAATAGACTCTACCTCTAAATTGTTAAAGCCAGTAGTGACAACTCCCCCCAAAAGATGTAATTTTCTACAAAATATAGATTTTTACAAGGTATTGATCTCATTTTCGCCGAAGGATATACTTAGATGTTGGAATCAACATGCAAATAATGCTTTTAAACGCCATGTTCAAACCCATTTGGAAGATTTTGAATTTGTTAAGAAGAACTTTGCTGAAAATACTGATATAATTTTCGCAAGCTTTGGTACCCTCTTATTTATGATCCTCTGGCGTGGTCTGTACCTCAGCTATTTCATTGTATTTTTCATGGATATTTTATGGCAATCGATAGATCTGAGGATCGAAAACATAGAATTCTCACAAAAAACAAAGCCTTGGATCATAATTTTACGAAGGATTTTTTATTACATGAACCTGGGCTACTTTAACTGTATTTATGAGCTGAAAACATGGCCAAAAGTACAAACACTGCTTTTTGAAACTTATTGTTTCATGCCAATACTACTGTTGGCGATATTCTTTGCCTTCTACTTTTGGGATCTGTTAGAAAATATTAAGAAAACGCTCGCTAATAAAAATAAATAAATTAAAGACTAGTTAATGGCAAGTTTAATAAAGCGTCGGTTTTTAATTTATCAATTTTCATTAAAAATTGATCGAGATGTTTTGTATGGCCCAAGTATTTAGGGATTGCATCATGCTTCTATTTGGAAAGGAATGTGGAAAAAAAGTTCTTGACAGTTTTTTGGATGGTTTTGAAGCTGATTGTATGACGCTCTTTCTTTCTAGAGCCCTTAGCTATGGCATTCTTTTGGGAGGTCTTTTTGTTAAGGTTCCCCAAATCATTCGAATTCTGAATCAAGGGACTGCATTTGGAATACCTATTTTCGCCCTGATTTTAGAAATTATATCCCTATCCCTATCTGTGGCCTATAACTTTCGCAAAATGCATCCATTTGAGCTCTATGGCGAAGGCTTCTTTTTACTGATCCAAACCATTCTAATCGCATTTCTTGTATTCTTTTTAGGTACCGAGGAGAAGCCCAAGAATTTAAAAGATCTCCAAACAGAGAAATCAACTGCGATCAACAATAGTCAGGCAGACACCCAAGATTCTTTGGACGAAAAAGACAAGACCACACCAACCTCTACTCAAGACGGCTCTGTCGTGGCCAAAAAAAAGGGAATCACATCTTGGCCCTTTTTGATGGCGTCTCTTTTTGTCTGTCTCCTTGCCTTTCTGTACCAATTTTTACTAAACTTTACCACCATACAGGAATTGGCTTTGCTTGTAAAATACTGGGCTGTCCCTCTATTTATCCTATCTCGATTTAACCAAATTATTGCAAGTTTCACAGCAAAATCTACAGGGGCTCTGTCTCCCATATCATGTTTCCTGGTAGCTGCTGGGTCGTTGGCCAGAGTGTTTACAACCTTTGTTGGGGTAAATGATCCATTGCTGATGTTCTCTACCTCTCTCGCTGCATTCCTAAATACGGTGATCCTGGTCCAAATTGGACTATATGCCCTTTGATATTTTTTGTTAAAAATTAACATTAAAATAAATAACATTTTGCATTCGGTTCATCCAGTCATTAAATAAATGACTCGTTCAGGTGATCAGACTATTTCCTCTAAGATTTTTAGGCGGCAAAGTCCCTTACAAGAAAGCTCCAAAGAAAGAGGTGGAAGAGATGGATGAGGTTTGGTGTTCGTTCCTATTTTAGAGTGATCTCGCTTTCATAAAGGCCAAAAGGGACGAGGAGAAACTATTTGAACAAATGGCGAAGCTAGCTAAACAAAAAGGGCCCCTCCTATCTGGAGGAATTAAAAAGTCCGGGAAAAAATAAACCATTAACTCGAACAGGGCACCAACTTGGATAAAGTGTCAACTTGGTTTATTATTATTAGTATTAAGCAACAATGGCCGAAGCAGAAGTCGAGTCATACTTCCAGACAGCTGGGAGTTGCTTGGATTTCTTATAATAACGGGAAAGGCGATGAATGCGCGACTCAATTAGAATAAGACGATATTTGGAATCTTTATCCTTGCGATTGCGCTCAAGATGTTTACGAACAGAGACTGCCTTCTTGATCAGATGATAGAGATCCTCGGGTATTTCCGGGGCTAGTCCACCAGCTTTGAGAATACGGAGAATCTTATTTCCTGTAATGCTTTTAACTTGCGGAATACCGTGGAGATCCCTGAGCACAACACCAATGGATGATGGGGTGAGACCTTTCTTTGCAAGCTTGAAAATCTGGTCTGAAACTTCAAGAGAAGTGGTCTTGACCCATGATGGAGCAGAACGGCGATATGGTAGTGCAGAGTCAGAGATACCCTTTCTATGATGTCAATACACTATGGAGGAAACATACCCTGGCGAATGCATGCGACCCATTGTTGGATAATTTAAAGGAAAAAAAAATTTATACCCTTGCAGTGCAACAAGCAACCGCTTTAAATTGTAGCTTAAAGTTTAATTTTAGAATATTTACGGTCACTTTTTGAAGTTAGATTTGAATTTCCAGGATGGCAGCGCTGCTTGCATGCGTTTCCTATATAAATCTTTGGCAGACTTTTGCTTGTGCATTTGGAGATCTTTGAATCTCCGATTGTAATACGTCCTGGACGCGGGGTCTGAAAGGATCGAATCTATAATGTCTTTTTTGCGGTCTCTCTTTGTGGATCTGAGCGAATAAAAGTCAGTAGCATCATCGATAATAGTTCCAACCTACATAAAAGATTTTATAAACCATCTTGGTTACCTGAAATGTTTTTGATAGATCTTTTGCATCGAATTTCTTATAATGCTGCGTTGGATCGATGGCATTACGCAGACGCAGCATGTGAATGTCCAATTTGACCCTTTCTGTGATTTTAGACGGCACCATTTCCCCCCATGATTCGGTGGCCGATTGAACATTTGGCTTCTTGCTTTTCTACAAAGTTACTTGAAATGCATGCATACATGTCTTCCCATTAAGGAATTTAAAAAAAATTAAATTAATTTAATTTTTAATGAAGCAAATTCGACTATTGTCCGGTTCCTCGCATGTTGACCTTGCCCAAAAGATCGCCTTCCGGGTGGGGGTTCCAGTGGCACCTATTACGCTCAAGAGAACAGCATGTTCTGAATCTGTGCTTGAGATTCATGTATCTGTTAGAAACCACGAAGTCTTTATAGTGCAGACGGGAAACTGCTTTAGTGGATCTATTGACGAGTATTTAGTTGAGCTTTTAATAATTGTTAATGCCTGCAAGCATGCATCTTCAGGTCGTATAATTGTTATCCTTCCATACTTTCCATATTCAAGGTATAGGCTTTCTTTAAGGTTTAGATACGGGAAAAAGGACTCGCCTAGAGGTTCAATATCTGCAAACTTGGTGGCCCAGATGTTGCAGGTTGCTGGGGTAAACCATATTCTGACTGTGGATTTGCATTCCCAACCGATCCAGGACTTTTTCAACATCCCGTTCGATAATTTGCGATCCGAGTCCTTACTTGCAAAGGCCATATTCTCTGCCAGCCTTTCAATGTTGGCATCATTGGAAGATTTATCGTACGGATGCTCAAAATTTGAAAATTTGATTACCATGGCACGTTCATCTAGTCCGGTCAACTTTATTGGCCGTTTTTCCCCTACTCCAGACCGTACTTGTCCTGCTGCGGACTCGATGCAAGATACATCTTCAAACAAAGCTGTGATTTTATCGACCCCTTCGACGCCAAATCCCAAAGCAGAGATCTACTGCAGCTCTTCGGTTTTTTTTCGCGGAGATATCTTTTTAAATCAATTATTTCAAGAAAATTGTGTGATCATCGTCCAAAAGCCGTCCTCAACAAAGAGCGTTGCTGCGCTTGCCGATAGATTAGGACTGGACTTTGCACTTGTTACTTCGGAAACAGAAGACGATAATATTGAGTCCATTTGCAACGGAGATAATCTGGTTGGAAATGTAAAGTCTAAAATAGCCTGGATTTTCACGGACATTATAGATGACCCTTCGTCGTTTATTACGACTGCAAAAATAGTAAGGGCCTCTGGGGCGCTTATGGTGGGCGTCGTTGCGATCCACCCTTTACTTACAAACGAAAATATGGCGCGTCTGGAGCAAGATCCCGATATTGATATTGTAAATTTAGTGATTTCCTATCCAGTAGGTTCTTGTTACCAATTCGTGCCCACTTCCCTGTATTAATTTAGATGAATCAAAGTTCAGAGTCATAGACATCTCGCCAATCCTATCGGAAGCCATTAGACGAATGCACAATGGCGAGTCAATGTCGTCGATGTTTTTTAAAGAATTTTAATTAAATCAACTCGGCCTTTGTTTCTTCCTTTCTTTCTCGCTCTGGCCCTCTATTGCCTGTAGGTTGTGTATTTTTTGCGTTCATAAAACATATCGGTTCTGGCGGATCCGAGGTTGACGATTTTGGGACAGCCATCTCTCTAAGTAGTTAAATGGCAACATGCACTTACGTCTTTCTCCAACAAGGTGCAGGATTTACAATAATACGCGTCTGAATGGCCGGGGCCCCCGCAAACAAGGCATTTTGCCTGAGAGGAGCCGAAATTGCATTCATCGCATATTCTGACGATGGTAGTTGGACGCACATACGTGTCGCAAATCACGCATCTTCCGTCGCACCGCTCGCAAACTTTACCAACAGCAATGCCAGGTTGCTTCCGACAAAATATCAAGTCCGTATGATGCTTAGCGGCCATGCACTGCTAAATTATTATAATTTTTTATTCAAAAAGCCATTAATTAAATTTCAGTTTATGAGCCTTTTATTTTTGCATTAAATGAATAAAAGTGAGGTCAAACAGCAGGAGTGGGAAAATTCCGAATTTCCCATTTTGTGTGAAGTTTGTTTGGGCCCCGATGAAGCGCTTAGGATGACGCGAGCGGTGCATGGCAGTGAGTGCAAAACTTGTTCGCGCCCATTTACCGTTTTTCGCTGGAAGCCCGGCAAAGACGCCCGTTTCAAGAAAACCGAAATATGCCAAATCTGCTCTCGAGTCAAGAACATTTGCCAAACCTGCTTGCTGGATCTGCAATACAATTTGCCAGTGAAAGCCAGAGATGCGTTACTGGGTGAAGGAGATGCAGGATCTTTTTGCAGTCAAGATATCCCCAAACTTGAGGTCAATCGGCAATTCTTTTTTCAAACCATGCGCACTAGACTTGCTGACCAAGATACGAGCGGGGGAGACACCTCTGCGCCCTTGCTAGTGGGCATCGATGCCCCTATTGTAAATCAAAAGCTCCTTTCTATTGCCAAAAAGCGAGCAGCAACAACCAACTATCGCCGAAACTTACCGCATGTGTGTTCATTTTATGCAAAGAAGGAATGCAATCGAGGCGATGCCTGTCCTTTTCGCCATCAATTGGATGCACATGATGAGCAACTGAGCGACCAGAAAATTAAAGATCGGTACTTTGGGACCAGGGATCCAGTAGCAGATAAAATAATTGCCCGGGAAAATGCAGCTGCCAAAAAAGAAAAAATTGCCAAAGCTATTGGAGACATGGGCTCAAATGAAGAACATCCTTTTGCTAATAATGCTCCCAAATATCCTTCACAGAATCCAAACAGATTGGGGTCGACTTACCATCAAAAGGGAACCAATAAATAACCCTTTTAAGATGGATCTCGTAAAATTGTTCTAGTCATCAACGAAGACTAGAAAGCATCCAAGATGGATCACATTTCGTCCGAGATCCCTCCCCATCAACGACGTTGTGATCAGTAAAAGAGAAGCTTGTGGAAAATTTTTCTCAGATCGCGCATCTAGTCGTACTTTTGAGCGGGGTTTCAAATATGTCGTGTGTTGCTGACGGACAGCTTTAGATAGTTTATTAATCTTAAAGCAGCCAAAATCGTGTTAAAGTGCGTTGGCTTCTTGTGTGGGATGTGCGGAGGATGGGTCGTAGTCTATTGGCAAGAGAACAACCTCTCCAGATCCCTCCTTCCTAATTCTCCATGGTTCCTTGGGACCGACAAACCGAGGAACATCGAGTTTTAGACCCTTTTCCTGAAGAATGGCCAGTATTCGATCTCTTTTTGCCGTTTCCTTTGCCGTTTCTTCCTGTTGTGTTTTAATAGCTTTGAGTCTGGCATTTTCCCACCGAAAATGGCCAACAACCAGGTCGTATTGTTCCTGATCTCTAGTAAATACAATATAGTTCTTTTCAATCCAATATTTCAATCCAGGGTAAATTTGAGAAGAGAACTCTGAATGCTTATTTGAAAGAACAGATGTCAAAACATGGTTGCTGAGATAGCCTCTCTTTTCGTCAGACGTATAGAAAAGAATATCTTTATATTCTTTTGGCGATGAGAAGGGAGGAAGAAATCCACGAATAAGTGCGGATGCTAGTGACTCGGGCTGGCCTTTCAGTATAGCCCTAATGCTTTCCCTGGTTTGGGTTTTCTTTATCCCTCTCTCTCCTTTGATAAGATCTCCAAACACATCAAACAGGGAGAAGCGTACCATGTTTCTTCTCTTAAGGACCCGCCCAGCTTCAAAGTTAGCATTCATCACAAAGTTATGAAACTCCCTCTCCGTAAGCCGATTCTTAAGTGCCTCAACAGAATGTCCGGGAAGATTCCTGGAAACAAGATAAGAAGATAGCTGCCCAGCATACTTTTTGAATAAAACCCATTTCCTAGCTTCGGTGAAAAAGTAAAACTCTGGACGCGTTAAAACTTTGATGTCTTCTCGCGAGTGGTAAACGGCTATTGCCTTTCCTCCTAATTCCTCAATCCGCCCAATGGCTTCTGGTGTAAATTCTGTTGCTTCAATATGGACAATATGGGTAAAGTGTTCACAACCGCCATCGGTGATGAGCAACCCTCTTCTGATGGATGTTAACCCGGCATCATAGAATGAAGACAGCGTTAGTGGCTTTGAGCCGTCCAAACGTCCAATGTCAAGCCATCTTTGGATTTGGTCAAGATGGATCCGGCCATACCCCTCATACGCCCTTTCCATGCTTTTAATTTCGGCAGACTTTTTTGGAAATCTGAATCGTAATTCGGTCTGTCCTCCTTCAAATCCACGCGGAATTCCAGGACCAGACCGTGACTTTTGCCCCTTGGAACCACGTCCATTTAACCTAGACCCGGTTCCATCTCCTCGATATCTTTTCCTTGATTTGTGGCTACGAGGAGATCGGAACAAATTAGACAGGGTTAGTGGCTCACAAATAAAAAAGCCGCCAATTTTAGCATTTCTCATGCAATGTAGACGGATGGTATCGTATTTTGACCTGCTTCTAGTTCCGGCATGCCTGATTGTCTGGAGGGAAAGAAGATGGCGAATGGGAAAGGACATCAAAAATTGTACTTTTTATTTGAATTTTAAAATTACACCGCTGCGTGTTCATGTTCTCCCCTGCTTGCAAAAGGTACTCTCAATAATTTCTCAATCGCCATCATCTTAGGTTCTATGCTGGAGGTTGGAACAGGAGGCTTCCCTTAAATTCGAAGAGCGGCAATAAGGATTACTACAAAGGTACGATATATCAGACACTTATTTCTAGGGAAAAACAATGGGAAAATGGGCAAAATCGACAAATGGGGGTTTTTCCATGCCGACCAAGCGAAAATAAGGAAATACATTGTGCCAGACTTGACAAGCTTTCAAGTACATGATTTTTTCTAATCCAAAGTTAACGCCATATGTGAGCCATTTGACTCCGAAGGCTCCTCCTGGGAATAAAAATACACTTTCTCCTGCTGATTTTTTCAGCGGCTCCGATCCCGATGTTTCCCCGCCAATAGAAGCTATCAAGGCCATTCGCAAGATAAAAGCCCCGAACTTGCTTTGTAGAGTAATCGCCAAAATGGCCCAAAACGAGAAGCACAGTATTTACCAAGGATTTTCAAAAGATACAACACTTTTAGATACGTATCTTTCAAACCAAGATCTCGAAGCAATTGGTGTAGATGATATGACACTTACTAGGAAACCGTATACTAGGAAGAAACTCAAATAAGCACGATATCTTTTATTGTGGCTCGAGTTCTGGTAATTTGCATAGCTCGGAGTCAATATCTAAAAATAAACCATTATTCAATACCAAGAATGATATGGCGCAGCTCTTTCATCACATGGTGTTCCTAAAAATAACAAAACAGTAAATTACTTTCTCGAGACAGAGGGTCTTGAAAATGGACTTTAACTTGAGCTTATTCATTGTGCTTTTGGGGTCTTTCGATAAGAGTTGGATGATCAATCTCAAACACCGTCCGTATTCATCTTTGTCTCCATAAAGTTTACATGTCAGTAGTTCATTCTAAAAAAAGATAACCCTTCCTACTTCCAAATCTGACAAATGGTTACTCAAACACTCCAAATCTTGTAATGCCGAGCTAGGTAAACGAGAATAAGAGTGCCAGGATTTTTGCTTCAAATCAAAGATATATTCTTCGCCATTTGCAAAAGAAAGGAGTGGAAGTCCACTTTTACAAAAACAAACAGATTTTATCATCTCAAGCATCGGTAGTGGGGTAGGACCAGTGAGATGTAAACAAAAATCCCTAACAATAAAAATGTAGAGAATACCATAGATATAAGGAACCATTTGAAGTTATTGCACCAACCCTATCTGGGTAAAAGTCTCCGCTATTGGCACCAAAGAGGAAAACCACTTGAGAGTCCAAAATCAACGGCAAGGACATCCTAGTGCCTTAAAACTATGGATACACTTACTGTACACCATTTTCATCGTAGATATGTAAACGGGGATGATCAAAAGAGGAAATGAAAAAGTAAGAGGCCACTTTTAGAGCAAAAGAGACGTTTTCAGGCAAAGAAAGCGAGAATCCATCGGGGCCGATTAATTTAACTATTGATGGGGTTTTCTGGTCAATAAAATAGTTAGGACCGCAATTTAAAAACGGCCGCAAAGAGGGCAGGGGGAGATTCTTTTTTTGTTCCCTTGAGCCTGTAGAACAAATAGTGTGATCGAGATTTTGTTCCTGCGTGTTTTTGCTTTCAATATCATCATAGGATTCAATCAGCGTTGGTTGTATTCGCCTTCTTTTTGATAGTGAGTCCGTATGCAAATTGTTGGTCTTTAATATAATAGGCTTTATGTTCTTTTGTACGGAAAATCCAGCACCAGCGGCTAGTGTTTTAGATAAATTAAATGGAGGCGCATAAGAAACTTCAGTGAGGATCCCTAGGGTACGTTTAGAAAAACCAACCCTACTATCTTGCGGAATACCAAGTTCTCCATCTTCCCACTCCAAAATCCTTACAGTTCCATCATAGGAACAACATGCAATTTTTGTTCCATCGCACGACCAAGATAAATCCATCACCGAGTGTTTGAAAAGAGCCTGGATGACAAGGACGGGCTGCGAAAAAGAGGTTCTCCAAACAGAAATGCTATGATCCTGACTGCCTACAGCACAATAAGATAGTACCTTGGATTCAGAAAATGACACATTCGGAGATTTGAACATCACAGGGCAAAATTGCTACATTTAAGGCACAAAGTAGAACTTACCACAACTTCGACCGGCTCTACAAATCCCTTCAGAGCCATGGATGGCTTCCATGAAAGTGTGCTTGAATTTTTATGGATCCATGAATTTTCATTCACCTTGGTGATAAAAACAGAAACGGGAAGAATTGAAGGGGTTTTGGCTGCCGTTAGCACGCCATTTGCCGTGGCTATAGTCGATCCATCTGGCGACCACGACAGTCTCTGATAGTAAACGTTGTCTGGCGCTTTGCTGAAAGATTCACAGGTGATCTTTGTTTCGATGGTCCAATCTGAGGAACGCCAGAGGATGACGCCAGAGCCCTGGTCTGACTAAAAAGGGATAATTTTTGGAATCCGTACATGTGCTGCCAAGAGGCGTCCAGTGGGATCCCATGCAAGGCCTTTAATAATACCTTCATGTTCTGAGAGCTTAGTTAATAGGGCGAATTTATTCGTTGCGTCATAGAGAATAACCAAATTATCGACACCGCAAGAAGCCAAGATGGTTCCAGAGGCGTTCCAGGCCAACCCAGTTACATCTAAAAAGAGGGAGTCTCAATGCACTTTTACCTTGAGAATGGTCCAGAAGCCGATGTAAGAGGCCAAATGTAGAACTGTTAGGTCGCTTTCCCCAAATAATGACGGCAGAATCATCAGATGAAGAGGCCAAAAGGTTGGGGTCAATTGGACTCCACCTAACACACAAGACGCTTCCAGAATGGCCCTCTAATCGTGTAGTCTCTTTGCTCGTAGAAAAGGGCTTTGTGATGGGCCATATTCTAATTGAAGAATCAAGGCCGCCAGTCGCGAGGTCAGTTCCCGTGCAGTTGAAAGAGATACTAAACATTGGGATCTTTCTTTGCTCTCTCTCGCCCTCTAATTATCAGTAAATATATGCATATATTAATACCTCCATGAGATATCCACTCAGGAAAATGAACAAACATAGGAAGCGGCTGGTGAAAAATTGTCACTACACTTGTAAAATATTCAAAAATTATTAAATGGTTAAGCGGTTGTTTGTCATGATCGAGATTTCTTGGTTTATAAGCTCTGCTCTGCATCTCCCTAATCCGCTTCGTCCAACAGAAAGCAGGCATATATATCAGAGCCAAAGAAAAGGTAACCCCAGGGAAGGATGAAGAGGGCCCATCAAAAAAGTTGGACGCGCGGCTCGTCGTTGTGTGCTGGATTTCTTGCTTTCGGCAGAGCACCGTTGTGTGTATCTGGCGCGTGTTGTGCCAAAGG